GGGCTGGGGATTCGAACCCGCCACCTTAGGTGTACGTGGCTGGCGCCTTAGCCGGTTGAGCTATAGGTGCCGAGCCTATTTTATCATTTTTATCGGTAAAATCGGTAGATTGTTGCAAGAGGAGGCATAAGATAATTGTGCTGGTTAGTGGGTGGGTGTGCGCCTGTGTAGACCTGGTTTCCACGTGTGCTGTGGTGAGGGAAAGACTGATTAGTTTTGTTTTGGACAGCGCGGCAGTCATTGCCTCCTGTGTTGGGCAAGTTGAGTGGTTGCCTGTATGTCTTAAGGGGCCCCCCCAGTCTTGAGCCCTAGTCTGCTCCACAGCTATTTCCCCACAGCCTTTTCTGGCCCCAGAGTTCTATAAGAGAATCTCCGCTCCGCCTTGTTGCCCACGGCTGTATCTGCGATAGAAGTGGAATTAGAGGACCTTGTCTTTCTTGGGCTGGAAGTCTCTTGGGCTGCTCCCGCTGCCTGCCCCAGCCTCGATCCTTCCGAGGAACCGGTTTCCCGGGTTGGGAGGGATCTCCACTCAGTTCAACCAGGGGCTCGAATGCCTTCGCACAAAACTGGAGCAGACACACGCGGCTTTACCGTGGGGGTGTTTACGGTCTAGGGCTGCACTGCAGCCTTTGGGCTTGATTTCGCTCTTTCAGCTGTCGAATAAACTTTTCGTCATTATTTTCCACGCCATGTTACCTCTTCCTCTATTGCTTTGGTGTTAGACTAGTGCCTCCTATCCACCGAAACGTATCCGAGGCAGGGGCCAGAAGTTTCGAGGAGCGGGCTCTGCCAAGGGGCCCGGGAACTTTAGTGATCTACCTGTAGACCCGTGAGAGTTGGTGTGTGTGATCACTATATATATAGTCTTGCCTTGGAGGGAGAGCTGGGGACGACAGAGGCTTTATTATGTTGCCTCCGTGAGTAGGAGTCGGTGAGCTGCTACACAGAGCAAGGCTAAAGTGAGCACGGCGGCGGCAACTTTTTCCCCTTCTAACCTGTTATTTGGGGAGAGGGCGGAGCTATTGCCTGATGGCCTGAGACAGGCTTCTCCTATTGGAAAAAAAGTTGAAATTCTTATCTAGGGCACCTCCTTTCTAAAAGGTTCCGTTTAGGTATGAAGCTACTGGGCAGTTATCCTTTTTTCTTAGTTCTTAAGTTTTTAATAGACTCTTACGGTTTTAACACATTCATGGATGAATGTTTCTAGTATGTTCTTTAATCACTTTTAGAAAAATAGGTAAATACCACTTCAAATCCCAGGAATGGAAAACATGGAGCCAATTCATTAGCAGACTGGGATCAAATGAAAGGTAAACTGAGGAAATTGAGGAGGAGAGGGCACCTGGAAACATCTAGGGGAGTCCCATTTAAATGTCAGTTTTTATTTATATTTCCAGTTAAAGATCCATTTACATTTTATTTGGCCTAAAACAGTGGATGCTCGGTTGTTAGATTTGCAAAAGGTTTTTATTCACTTTTTAAACTGCATAGGAAATCCTGACATAAGAAGTGCAACTTCCTGACCCTGGTATGTACGCAGGTGCCCTTAAAGTTAACTTTTTAGCATGTGCAGTGCTAGGACAAGCCTTAAGATGGTACCTTATGGCTCAGTGCCTATAGCTCAGCTACTAGGGCACCAGCCACATACACCTGGAACTGGCAGGTTCGAGTCCAGCCTGGGCCTGCCAAACAACAGTGACAACTACATACCACCAAAAAACAGCTGATTGTTTTGGCGGGTGCCTGTAGTCCTAGCTGCTTGGGAGGCTGAGGCAAGAGAATCTCTTAAGACCAAGAGTTTGAGGTTGCTGTGAGCTGTGACGCCATGGTGCTTTGTCTCAAAAAAAAAAAAAAAGACAGTATGTTATTAAACTAAATCTTTTAAAAAATAACATTTGCTTAGTCTTGAGCAAGATTCTACTACCTCTCTTTAGGTTTTCATTAAAAAAGAAAATTTGAGGCGGTGCCTGTTGCTCAAAGGAGTAGGGCACCGGCCCCATATGCCAGAGGTGGCAGGTTCAAACCCAACCCTGGCCAAAAACTGCACAAAAAAGGTAAAGAAAATTTGGCACTCTGGGAGACCAAGGTGGGTGGATTGCTTGAGCTCACATATTCGAGACCAGCCTGAGCAAAAGCAAGACCCCCGTTTCTAAAAGTAGAAAAACTGAGGCAAGAGGACCACTTGAG